GAGAGAGAGAGAGAGAGAGAGAGAGAGAGAGAGAGAGAGAGAGAGAGAGAGAGAGAGAGAGAGAGAGAGAGAGAGAGAGAGAGAGAGAGAGAGAGAGAGAGAGAGAGAGAGAGAGAGAGAGAGGAAGTGAAAGCCTCGGTTGGAGGTGGAAGTGGAGAGAAAGCTCGTAGCTTGAGAAGCGATGGAGAATGAAAGTACAGTCTGCCTGGGAAGAAGAGGCATGGGGAGTTTGAGGAGGCTTGTAAAGTTTGTGGGGAGAAGAGTTTCATGGCTGCTATGATGTGACGTAAGATGGATGCCTGAGAGGTGTTGGGAGTATGGGTTGCCTTAGTTTCCACTAGATCTATGGGGAAATACAGAAAAAGAGAAGACGATTCTAAGAGATCGCCGGTGATGAGTAGTAAAGGAAGTGAATCCGCTTTTGTGAAAGTTCCCGTTGTGTGTTCTTGACTATCAGTATCTTTGAGGACTTTCCTCTCGATGTTAGCTCGCTTCCTTGTTCACAACACGATCCACACTCAATACACCTTTTAGGAAGTTGGATCTGAATCTTAGCGACAAATCATGCTCAAGGAATAATGTATTGGATCGAAGAAAAGAGATTTGAGAAGAAGAATGGGCAAGGAAGAGAGAGAAGAGGAAGACTTCCCCTGACGGGAAAATGGGGTGTTCCCGGGCTCGTGGACCAATTTTATTTCATCAAAGATATGCGTTACAATTGTGATCCCCCTCCCCCAAAAGCGTCCCTTTTACATCATGAAACCCTCATATTTATAGAAGATATGAGAGTTCAAATGTAATATTTGGACATGCTTTGAAGAGAGAAGCAAAAGATATTTTAGTCCTTTTATTTCGACTGTTGGATTGTCTTGAGATCGATGCAACTGTCATGTCCATGTTTGCTGAAAAATTGAAGTGAGGTAGCCAAGAAAGTGAGCTTAGTCAGTCACTGAAGTAAGGTGAAAAAAGCTTAGTCTGTTGATTGAAGTGATGTGGCCAACTACTGGATTGCCTCGAGATCCGTGCAGACCATTTTAAGATATACATTATTGCATGTTTATTTTTTATTTTTTCGAGGTCAGTGACGAGACATTAGGGTTTAGGGTTTTTTTAGGGTTTAGGATTTAGGGTTTAGGGTTTTTTAGGGTTTAAGATTTAGGGTTTAGGGTTTTTTTAGGGTTTAGGGTTTAGGGGGGTTCTTTTGGATTATCTATTTGTCGATATTGATTATTGTCACATGTGAAATCCCAATGAAAGCAACCAAGTTTCTCTCATATTTTCAGTCTTGTGGTTTTTTTATGCTCTTTTCGATGGTTTTTTGTTTGGTGATATGCATATGTGACACATACGAGTTCGGTATTACGTGTTTTGAAGGCAACCAAAAATCCTTTATTTTTAATGTATGTTGTCTTTTGGAAGTGACAGATTCATTGGTTTATGTTATATTATCAGAGACCTAAGGGTTTAGTAAAACTAGCATCATTACTTATAATTTTTTTTTCACTAATATTGCATCTAAGGATTTGTGATTTATTGTGTTCAACCTTCAAAAAAGAAGAGTTCGCGGACTTCTGGGACCTCCAAAGGATTGAACTATTATTGTGGATTACCATGCTCCTTACTTCGCGACAACCACATAGCTATAAGAGATAGTTTTACAGGTGTCCGATGATAAGACGAGAAAACTGAGACTTCTTTAGACGGGCATATGGGTTGGAGGAATTGACAGCTGATAGTGATTGTGCGTGGCGTGTTTCCCTGAACTATGGTTTATGTTGTGAGATACACCAGCTACATTCTAAAAATACTATTATCCTCATATTAATTATTATTTTAATAGTCTTTTTTTAATTTTTGATAGTCGTGCTACTCACTATTTAGTGATTTGTCTATTTTTATTTTGTAACGTTCGAACTAGATATTTGTTTTCAAGTATATGATGAGCTAATATGAATAGTTCTATTGTAAACACTATTATAATACAGAGACAGAATGATCATTTGTCCAGAAACAACTGCAACACAACTGTTTTTAAACTACCAAAAACAAATAGACAATAAACTTATCTGCAGCAGCTTCCTACCACAGTTGTTGCGCGATAGCTTATTAATAAGTTGCAACCGCCCAAACAGACTTCTAAACACGCAGTAGCTTACAGATTTAGAATTGCACTTTTGCTTGGTACGTACATACATACATACATATATGGAATAATGGTTTTTTTCCTCCTCCCAAAAGGACAATGATTATTCTACACTTAAGTTTATATTTGCACTCAAATTGAATATCATGCATTGATTGTGATTTATAACATAAAAATTACATGTAGATCGAGTTTCATCAATTTTCATAATAATTAAATCATTCATACAAAAAGTAAAAAAAAAATATAAATGATCAAATGGTAAATAGAAACTTATTCAAATGCTTAATTTTACTCATGCATTTCACTACTAAAAATGATTCACTAAATACAATATATCATCAACAGCTCATTTTGTCTCATTATAAACCACTTGAAAGTCTCTATACTACAAAAGCACAACTAACTTATCATACAATTGAAACCGCCTAATGTACTAATTTTGATGATGCATTCATTCGAGGACCAAACAATCTTAAATATTTGAGCTCATGCATTTCATGAGTTTTAATGATTTTAAAAAGAAAAGGACAATTTTAGTCTTGCACTTGAAACTCGTAACGCCAAACTCTACACGGGCAAACAAGAGTAACTATCCACAAGATAATTTCAGTTTAAGAAAAGTAACATGTATGATAAATCACTACTCATCAACCATTAGACTAAAATGAGCTCAACCTTCATGAACCAACGACATGTGAAACAAGAAGACATTGTCAAGCCTTTCTCAATTGTAGTTCAAAACAATTGCATGTTACTATAAGCTAAGAGATGCATCATAACTAAGTTTTAAGATAATGAAATTTATAAATGAGTGCGAGTGACTCAACAACAAAAATCAATAAGACTAAAGGTGATACTTACATATGCCGATGGATGATTAAACAAAAAGATTGCACCTTCCCTTTCCTTCCTCTCTCATAGGTCGTCCTTCATGCAAACAAAAAATCTATTTTAAACAACCATTACCAACGTTCTCTAGGACTGCCATCCGGAAATGCAGGAACAAATTCTTTGTCTCCAGATTTTTTAGGAGCATCATCAGCTTCCACTTCCTTTTCTTTAAAATTTAAGTTATCAATATCATCAAAATCCGGAGGGTTTTCATCTTCTTCATCACTCCAATCATCTTCATCAAACTCATCTCCTGACTCATCAGCCTCTGCTAAGATGTCATCCACATCAGACCATCCTTTAGAATCAACTTCATCATCGTCGTCTTCCTCCAATGCTGCGTTATTGTCTGTCTCGACAATCGCCATTCTTGGGGTTCTCGAGAATCTTGGGACGGCAACAAGAGCACGCATCTTCTCTTTCAACAGCAATAACCTATGTTTTTCAACCAATTGCGAGCCACGATAGGCTTCACGAAGAAACACGGAATCCCTGTCCCCCTTCAAGGACACGTAAAACATATCCGGATGCCGGATCAACATTCCCCTCAACTGTTGGGAGAAATTGAATTCTTCCCTAAAGTGGGTCAAATGATCCACTAATGTCCTCTTCTCAAGCGTGAGACTTAGTATTTCATGAACCACACCACATGCATGTTTTTCTTTCTCAGGGGTGCCAGACCTCAAGTGTGAGAAGTCTGAGTAAGGAGATATATAAGGCATTTCCCTGAAATGAGAAATTCTCTTTGCCTCACCCCTAGAAAGATTTAAGCCTCTAGGAAGTTTCACCATTCTAAACTTGGGAGTTCTCTCTATAATCAAGTTTCTCTCTTCCACCTCCCTAATCCTCCTCTCTTCTTCGACCAGCTCAGCGGCTGAGACGGCCAGAGCTGGATCCCAGTGAGTCAACTCGAGAGCTGGACCACGATCGGTTGCCACGAGCTTAAAATACTGAGGGTACCTCCGACAAACTGTCTCCTTGAACTCTGGTGGAAGACCAAGATCATTCTTCAAATGTGTGATCTTCTCCAAGAGAATCCTCTTGTCCAAAGACATCATTAGCAATTTTCTGAGCTTCACAATACCAGACTGTTCCATCTCATTCCTGACTCTCAGCTCCTCCAAATAAACCCGTTCAGCTTCAGGTGTCATCCTGAACCTGAGAGAGTAAACTCCTTCCTCAACAATCTCAAAAACAGCCGGAAATCTCTTCAAAAGAGCAATGAATCTGCGCTTTCTGGTCAGACCAAGATCTCTTCTGAACTTACCCAGATGCTTAAGACTCATTATTCGATCAGGCTGGTTCACGAGGATGTTCCTGATCTTGAGCACCAGCTTCAGCTTCTTGTCACGCTGGATAACGTTATCGAAGGGAATCTCTTTTCTCCATTTAACAGCCGCTTCTATCGGACAAAAAGGCCGTCGCCTATCCGCCTGAAATGGAAGCGTCTTCTTCCCCAAGATGAGCTTTTGACCAAGGAATGAGGTGTCAGGTGACGACAGAGTGGGAAAGGAGAGACGGCTGTTGACGGAGGTGAAGGCCTTACTAGGAGAAGAGAACGAACAAGACAGAAAAGGGGGTGAAGGAGCAGTAAGACTTGCTCCTTGTGATGAAAGAAGTAGTTTTTGGTCCATGAGATTAGGGCTTGATAGGATAAGGTTCATATAACAGTGACTGAACCGTCAACTAATTACAGAAGCTCACACAAAACCCTAATAAGAAGAAGAAGCAGCAGCCGCCTTCTAAGTCGTGCTTTCTCGCCGGAATATAGAGGTCAGTTTTTTTACCGACGAAGCCACTTCCGATTGCCGATCTTATGCGGAAAACCCCAATCCGATGATACTTCGATCCGAATCCCTTCTGTACTGTACCAGTAGAGACCAAATGCTCGCAAATTAGAGAACTATAAAAATATTTAATTTAATTTCATTTTTGAGATAATTGGGTATGCATTTACATGTGATCAAATCACTAAAAATTTGTTAAAAATTAAAAATATGAGTTATCATGCTGTTTAATAATTGCGTGAAAATTTAAAAAATATATGAAAGATGAGGCTAGTTTTGTAAATAACAATATTTCTTGTGCTCTTTATGTAATTACCCCCACTAGGAAAAAAATAATATGACTTTTTAAACAATCGAATTATATGTAATTACCCCCACTAGGAAAAAAATAATATGATTTTTTAAACAATCGAATTAATCCATTTACTTGTACCACCAATAATTCATTGATAATTTATTAAAAATTGAAAAAATATTAGTATTTTTAACTCCATTTAGGAGGCATTTATGATGTAATAATAATGTGTTAAGCGAATTTATAAGGATAGATATGATAACAAATTAATATAATTTAGAATTATAATTGCTTGTTCAAAATTATAAAGTTCGACAAATTGAAGTTGCATTTTATATATTAAAATTAAAATATTTATATTAAAATTATGATTGCTGTAAGATTTTTATTAGTGAGTAAAGATAAACTCTTTTCAATTTAATTCTTTATATGATTAAAAAAATAAATAAATAAAAGTGCAGATTAATTTAAGCTGCTTTAGTTTGATATAATATGATTAAAAAAATAAATAAATAAAAGTGCAGATTCTGTATATTATATCAAACCAATTAAATTCTAGTTTAAGCTGCTTTAGTTTGATATAGAATAAAAATATATATTTAAATTCAACTCGAACCAATCAATTTTAATTGTCTTAGCCATTCATTTATGATTTGAACTTAATGCAAACACAAAGAGAGAGATTGTTCGGTTCCCCCATTAGTGTTGTAAGGTAAAATCAAATGCTGGGATTTTCAATATCCTAGCACTTGGTTGAATGAAAATAGAATGCAATGTCAAAGCTAGATGGACCATGCGGTTCAAACCGGGTGTATTCTAAATAGTTAGATTTGGGTGATTTTTAAATACATTATTGTTGTCATCATTGCTCACTGACCGTCGACCTACCGCCAATGACAGCTTGCTAACCACTACAGCCGGCAGCCGACCACCTATAGTAGGCGCCATGAGTCGTAACCACTGATCAGTGCCACATCTATTGTTATGCATATTTTACATTGACTTCATTTTTCTTCAAATAAAACATAAGAATAGAAATTTATACATCTACCTTACACCAAACCAAACAACTGCAAAATATTTCAAATACACTATACTTCTTTTGCACTGCATTCTTTTTCAAACAAAACAAATAGACAAGAAAAAACAATGAATATATGAAAGAAAATCGGCATGCAAAAAACAAGTAAAACATAGATTCACTTGCCACTGTGGATTTCAATATTGATTGTGAAGAATTCCACCTCTCATATAGAGCATTTTCTTTATAGGATGATAATTAAATCCCATAAATTATCATCCCCTTCATTGCATACACAAAACTCCAGTTGAAATACATTTATAACTTGTTATTCAGATAACATTCTGTACCAAATTCAAGAATGATCCCTAAAAACTAGATTTAGAAACATAGAAATCACTGAGAGAACTGAGAGAACAGAGAACAAAGACATTTGGGATCAAAATTTATAATAAAAGGATTCATGAATGTAAACAAACCGAGCATCATCAAAATACATCATAAAATGTTGTGATCCAACAAGAAAATAGAGAATGTTCTGTTGAAATGAATTATCTAAAATGAACTATAAATGCAGAAAATCATATCCTGAATCGTGATTCATCATCCCCCTAGTAAGCTCCAATTCTGAAATCATATACAATGTGTTGATCACAGCAGTTTGAAGCTACCTTTCTTTCTACTAAATTTGTGTAGAAAATAAAATACAGTTAAAATGTGAACAGAAAAATAACTGAAGGGAAGTTTACATACACACCACATAATTCTTACGAATTTACATATCTAACACCTACAGTTTGAAATTTACATCTATAACACCTTGGTATTAAAAGTCTATGCAACAAAAAGTGTTATCATTTTTAAAAAGTTAGTGCTAGTGGTATTTTTGATGTGATGACAGAGACTTCGGTGTTATGTATGTATATATGAAAGTTTAGGCGTCAGACATGTAAATATATAAGAATTGTGTGGTATGCATGTAAATTCCCTTAAACTGAAATATACCTACTCTATGGCCCGCCAAGAATAGCATTCTCAATGTCTTCTCTGCTCAAAGCATAACTGAATCTTCTCTCTACATCTTTTTCAAGGTTACCAGGTCCAGTTTTCAAGTACCTTAAGTTCAACACGCGAAGCCAAATCAAAGAAAACAACATCAAGAGTCGATGATTATTAATCAGCAAAAAAGCTCGGATCCAACAGAATTCAAATATATACAGCAAAAAAGGGAAAAAAAACGTATTTAGTTTCAGAAGAATAAAAAAACTGAATTCATATATATTATAAGAGTTTTTTCATAAAAAAGTTGCAGATTTTATGTTATTAGTTTCTAAAAGATAATAAGCAGGGAGCAAGGAGGGCTAGATTAATCAGCCCGGAGACTTTAAGTTTAAACAACTCGTACTTTCAAATACTTTGGCAACAAAAAATTGAAAACAAACCTAAAAATAATGTTTGTTTATTCATTTTTTTCTTTTTTTGTTTTAATTTTGTTTTTAAAACACATATGACTTATTTTTAAAATATCAAAAACACATAAATTGTGTTTTTGTTTTTTAAAAACATGTTATTCGGAACATGACCTGTGCGAGGCTCCATCAGCCTTCGCCAGCCACAGGTGCCACCCACTGCCCTCCATCACCGCCGCCCGCCGCCGCTCACCCACATGTAATTCTTCGCGTTAGGTAGAGCAAGGAAGACGTCGTATACGCCATGGGAGACAAAGCTTAATATTGAAGCGCACATGGACCCAACAATTTTATAAAAAATATAGTTTATTTCTTTAAAAAAATAAAAAATATTCAACCAAAAATGTTTTATATATTTTTTTTATTTTTAAAAACATATACATTTTCTAAAAACAGAAAACATAAAACAAAATAAAAATAAAATAGATTAAAAACAAAATAGAAGGTGATCCCAAACATGCCTTTTGCAAATGAGTAAAGTGCCAAAATAGTCCCCTGGCTATAGTTCCAGAATCTATAAAAGTGTCAAATTAGTTCTCAAGCTCTTTTTAATATTAGCTAAAATAGTCCCTATGGAAGACTATTTAGCCCCGTTAAAAAAGACTAGAGACTAAATTGACACTTTTATAAACTCCTGGAGTAAAATGAATCAAAAGACTAAGTCGGGAGATCATTTTGAGACTCTCCTTTGCAAATCGAATTCTTTTCAGGATTAAGTTAGACACTAACTTGATTTCAAACTGGACAAAACTTTCACAAAACTCCCTAAAATATGATGATTCTTTTTAGAACTAAAAAACGAGTCAAAATAAAATCACTAATTTAGCGAAGTATTATTTCATTTACAAACAAACCAAATGAAACTTTAATGCATGTGCAGTGTAATGTCCACATGTATCACTAGAACCAGAACCAACACTTTCAAAGTCTACTGAATACATAGCACAGTGTTGTCGCTTCTCATGAATAGTAAGAATTCATACTGATATTGGATCTTAGTTTTGCTATAGACATAGCTATCAATAGTAACATGGAGTGCGAACTGCTTTTATCGGGGAAGAATATAGGAAAACTCTAGTAGTGGAAAAAATCATGACCTAGCTAAATTGCAAGTATCCATTAGCGGTTTAATTTTAGGGAAATTTATAGACACACCACAATTTTTTTGTACTTATATATCTAACACCAAAACTTTCACATTTACATTTAAAAAACTTTGGTGTCATAAACATATGCATAAAAAGGTGCATTTTACTTGAAAAGTTAAATAGTAGAGGTATTTTTTATCTGATGTTAAAGATTTGGATGCTATGCATGTAAATATAGAACTTTAATATGCAAATACATACGAATTGCATGATATATATTTAAATGCGCCTTAAATTTATAAAAAAAAAAATTCCACCTACAAACAATTGCAAGAACTTTCATACAACATGCCACTTAAGCAAAATAAATGGATGGAGATGCCAAGAACATTCTTGTTGGATACAACACGCATCATAAGGAAATGTAGAACAGATGAGCAACGACAAAACCAAGTGTTCCGAAACAAATATATGATGGCAAAGCTCAAAGTACATGTGACAGCTGAATGAGTTGCTTGGCGTAATCTTTGATATTATGCCATCTTCACTAATGTATGTAAAAAGCTACATATCTGTCTCCAATCAATGCAACGAGTGGGATGTTTGTCTGCAACACAATCAACGAGCTGCTTGTTTGGCATCAAATAATACAACGAGCGAGACACCCATGTAGTAATTGGCATACGTGAAGGGATAAATAAAACACTCAGAGATAGACTAACTAAATACGCAAACTTCTCTCCTTTACCTGCTCAATTTATTGCTTTTACATTTGTATCTATTTTTGCTATTGATATTTGTAAACTTCGTGGCATTCCTCATTCCCTTCTATGGTTATATCTGATGGGGATAACATTTTATGAGTCATTTTGTGTGTAAATTTACAATTTAGCACAGCCAATCATTCTAAAACTAATGGTCAAACAGAGATTATGAAATTGGCTGTAGAATAATATCTTCGATGCTATACCATGGCTGCACCATTTACTTGGTTACAACTTTTACCTCGGGTAAAATTATAGCAAAATACCTCTTATCACACTTCTACCAACTTCACTCTATTTCATCTTGTTTGTGGCAAACTATCTCCAAATACTTTTCCTAACATTTAAAAGTTCTCATCAGAGGAATCGGTCAACAAGTTTCTCATTAATAAGGATTCCATCATACAACTTAAACAAAATTTGGCTATTACACAAAATTTGATGAAGTGATAAGCAAGTAAGTATCGTTGGTACCCTCAATTCCAATCAGCTGAAAAGGGTTTGATTAAATTGCAACCTTACAAAACATACTTCAAACAACAAATTAAATTTTCTAAACTTCTCTTCACTTTCATGGTCCATATGAGATTTTGGAATGCATTAGGGTCATCGTCTATCACCATTACCATCCACCAGATTCACAAACTCATCCAGTCTTCCATGTTGTATTTGCTCTTCCAAATAGGGCTCGCCCAATCTCGAACACTCCAAGGTGGTCACCATGGAAACCCTCCTAAAATTGGTTTTAGCCCCCTCCTAAACAGCTAATTTTTGTGACACAAACATGCTTCATATAATAGGAAATCTTTGTTAGCAAGCACAAAAAAAAACATCTTGACCTAGGGTGCATTTTGCTTCCCACTGGGGGGAAGAATAAGTCCAGATTTGAGAAAAAAAATCCATAAACCACGAACACTCCAAAAACATCGTTCTAGACAATCCTCATGGAACTACGAGCAAAGTCAATCTAAAAAATCACCTTGCTTCTTAGGAGAAAAATTTGTGTACGTCAAAAGGTTACAGAAGCGTGAAACATACTAGAAAGTACATTTAAGTTACAAGTAGGTTACAGGGAGGTTACATGGGATATAACACTGATATAACCCCTTAATACTCTCCCTGTAACCTACTGACGTACACAGCTCTGCGTACGTCTTACGAGACGTACGCAAATTTTTCTCGCTTCTTAGGGGTTCATCTCTGTTTGTCAAATTTTGGCCTACTAAGATTTTTATTTCTACGTAACGTGAATCTGTGAGTCCATGAAGATTAAAAATGGTAAGAGGGTAAAATGAAGGTATTTGAATTAGAGCACTCGAAATTATAAATAAGTCTAAAGAAATCAATGGCATGAAAATGCCTAATTGGTGTACACAACAATCTCTTAATTATGACTCATACACCATATGGGGGACAGATGCTGGAGCGGAACAAAGCGAGCAGCAAAGCGGAGCGAAAAAATCTATCCAATTGGGGGAGTTTCGTCACATGGGTTGGGGGTGCGGGGGCAACGCTCCACGGTACGGTACATGGGTAATTCTGTAATTACATATTGTACTCCAAGGTTATATATATGTCTGTTTGTAACCCTAGGGCTAATTTTGTATTTTGTACTCTTTTCTGAATTGAAGAAAAGCCGCCGCTTTGCTCCCGAGGACGTAGACATCTTTGTCGAACCTCATTAAATCTCTTTATTTTCTTCTGGATTTGTGTCGATTCCTGTTTTTCTTCGCCCTAATTTCTCAACACAATCAAATGATTTATGTTGCACCACTTAGCCTCAATGGTTGTGCCACATTAGTTATAAATGAAGTAAACCTGAGGCAAGGACATTTGAAATATTTTGGATGATGATCAACAAGCACTTTGGGGCTAGGTCTCCAACAAAATTTATCTAAAGTTGAATTGTTCAATCTAATATGAACCAAACTAAATAGTTCATGCGCTACATCATCTCTTTACACTTTGTTACCACAACCTTCCGCCTCTGGTAATAAAGGCTTCAACTACGTCCAGCTATGATGGAAAAGACAAGTGGAAATGGCAGCATGAGGTTGCAGAAGACTGCACCAAACTTAAGAAGAAAATGAGAAGGAATACTAATCTTCTTCCAATCCATAGAAGGAATGACCATCTACAATTTCCAGAAAACCAAATGCCACTCCAAGAAGGCATGTCATAATGGAGGTTATTTAATAACATCTTGTGCTTTCATTAGTGCTAAAACATTAAGATAGAATCATGTTATTTATTGGTCTCATGTTGAGCCATCCAAGGATATTTTTGCAACAAAATCAAAATGACGACTTCAACAATGTTCAAGCCCTTGAAATTTGTCATCCATATTCCATACTAAATCCATTAATTAAAAAAAAAAAACTCAGTAATCTATGTCAAGGAATGGTAAAGATCTTTACATTGTAACTAAAATTTGGTGCAGGATTTATACCAGCCAAACAAAGCAAGATTTATGGTTTAGTTTGATGGTATAAGAAAAAAAGTTCTGATTCATATCCAAGTTACATCTAAGAAATGAAGAAATAATAATTCTCCTACATAGAAACTCACCCATAAATCAAAGAGGTCCTCTTACATGACAGGTATCATCTTGGAGTTCCTTGGCTTCAAAAATAATTTCATAAATTTAATAGTAAATTCTAGAGGCATTGAATTCATAAACTTATTGGCATGATAGATAATAAATATAGCCAAGGAACTCCAAGATTATGAAATTACTATTAAATTTATGAATTATTACATGCCAATCAAAGGATATTTTTGAAACCTAAATCATTGGAAGTTTTATGCTGATGAGTTTATGATAAATCTTTTAAGCGAGATGTACCTTAGAGATTTAAGCAAGATGTACCTTAAATACAAAAATAGATTTATCATAAATACACCTCCTGCATCATACACAAAATTAGTTTATGTAACTTGGATATGAATCAGAACTAATCAGCATAAAACTTCTGATCCAAAGATTTAAATTGAGCAATTATGATACAGGAGGTGTATTAATGAGATTTATGAATTCAATTTTGTGTTTAAGGTACAAAATTAGTTTAAGGTACATCATTTTGATATAGCAAGATGTACCTATTGGCATGATAGACCAATTTTTAGGTTGCCTGGCTACAATTAAAATTTAGGTTTCAAAAATATCTTAAATCATTTGTACCTTAAACAAGATCCATTATTTAAGCAAGATGTACCTTAAATCATATCAAAAAAAATTTTGGGGACTTTAAAACCTATTATTTTGCTGAATCTTATTTCAACTTCATTATTAATTAAATCCATGATCCATTGATTCCCATCATACACAAAATTAAACAAATGTACTGAGTTTGACTCTCAAAATCTTAAAACCTAACACAAAATAATAAAATATTCTAAGGATTTAACAAATTTTAAGAGTTGTCATGTCAAATAGTTTTTATATTACAATCCTCTAAAGATTTATTAAATTTGGATTTATAGAATTTACTAAATTTTATTTGTAGCCAGGCAACCTAGAAATGAAGAAAATACCCAGTGAAGAGAAGAAATGTAAATGTTACTTCCCAAAAAATTTAAAACATCCGGATATTAATCGGGTGGAAAATGAGAAATACAAATGTAGTAAAATTTACGTGATTCAAGAAAATCATTAGGACAGATTCAGCTAAATCCCTGCTAGAACTTGGTTAAATCTTACAATCAAACCGCCTCCTAGTTCCTGGTCAAACAAGTGGGGCATTTAATATATGAAAAAGATAATGAACTTCTGATCTATAAATACACCTCCTGCATCCCCAAAAGGTAGACGCAACACTTCACGTATGATAAATTCGACCCAATTTTTTATTTTTATTCCGACAATGCATGCCTACATTGTTGTTGACCTAGAGCTGCAAAAAATGAATAATGAGAAGTGCAGATAAACTTCTTCTTTCAATCAAAAAGTAGCTGAAAAGAAGAAATGAAGCTCAAATCAGACCTAATGTAGAGATCCGTTACGTCAAGCGAGAGCTGTGCGTGCCAATCAGGCCTCTCGATGAACCACGTAGCACGGTCAGTTGTGCTCTGATTAAAACCTAACTTCTTAAGCCAGGCCTCGATGCAGGGGAGGCTGTGTGAGTAAAGCGGCTTCTTCTTATCCGGGAGCTTTTTCAGCCACTCCTGCTCGGCGGCGGAGAGCTCAGCCGACAACGGCTTCGAAGAGAATATAGTTCCACTCATCTTCCACCGCCGCCGGTAGGAAGCTAGGGATCGGGATTTCGACTGAAAGGAACCCAGGCCGGAAAGAGGTGCATCCGGCAAAAGAAGATTACGGAGGACGCCATTTGGACTACAAACTGGTATCGTGCCCATTCTGTTTAAGGAAGAAGAGGAAAGAAATGGATAGGATTTTGCTAATTATATTATAGTGAATCTTATTGGAGGTTATTTTGTTTATGATAATTTTATTTTATTCATTTTTATTTTTGCCCTTTATATTTATAATATTTATCTTTTTTTTTTTACTCATCAGCATATTATAATTAATATTTTTATTATAAATTATTGTTGAATTATTGAGGAGATGGTCTCTACAAACACTTTGTGTCAAATGAGCTTAAATTTATAACATAATGATGAATAGTTTATGCTACATTTTAATAGTTATTTTCAAGTATTAATAGTAATTTGTTTTTTCTTTTATTAGTTTTCGTATGACTTAGAAGGCTTTGTTATGCATTAGACTCTGTATTTTGTCGATATCATAAGTTTAATAACTTATTTTTCTTTATTTAATAGAGTGCTTCAAAGAGTTTTAATAGTTTATCTCTCACCTTATGAGATGATACAATACCACATGATTTTTATTTTTTTTATTTTTATTTTTAAAAAGGAATGGCTAAGGCTATCATATACGAGCCTCCAGTCCCCTTAATGTGTCTGACAATTCGAGTACCACCTCCTTATGGCCAAGTGTGTCTGAGGGGATTCGAAACCCCCGACCTGAGGGGTCATATATCGTGGATGCCAACCAACAAATCGGGATATGCGGTTCTACAATTCCACATGAATTAATCCTCATCAGTATCTTGCAAAGAAAGTTAATGCTAATAAGTTAAGAATATTATAAAAAGAGATACAAAAATAGATAAGAAAATACTAAAAATGTTATCCTCAAAATTGCATTGCACTCTCAGAACATTCATTCTCAAATAACTACTTTTCAATCAATGGTAAACCTAATTGACAATCAGATTTTGCTCTTTGATGAACTGTAATACTTCCACCATCAGTACTACTACTTTTGGTATTCATATTACTTCTAACTTGATATTCATGACCAAGATTCCTCAACCTATTAAGTTCTGGCAATATAACAGTTCCAAGATCAGGTCTATCCTTCTTCCTCAACTCAGAACATTTTAAGGCAAGCCTGGTGAACCTTATAACATCTTCCATTGGCCAATCAGTTATCGTTGGATCAAGCAAATCAGCCAAGGCTCCTCTTTCTAATGCTCTTTCTATAACATGTGTGAGCCCCATTGGACCTTTAGCCGTAATAATCTGAAGTAAGAGAACCCCGAGCGAGTAAATATCTGACTTAGTGCCAAGCATTCCTGTCTGCTGATATTCTGGATCAATGTAACAGAAGGTTCCAGCAGTTGATGTCATTCTATACTGAGTCACACTATCAGCTACTGAAGGAGGAACAAGCCTTGAAAGGCCTACATCACTGATCTTGCTAGTATAATTATGATCGAGGAGTATGTTAGCTGGTTTCAGGTCTCTATGAACCAGTGGCTCTGGCTTAGCTTGGTGGATGAAGAGCAAAGCAGTGGCTATCTCTGCTGCAATCTTGAATCTCACTGGCCAGGGAATGGAAGGGGTGTTTCCACGTTGAAATAGTCTATCTTCTAAGCTTCCATTGTCCATGAACTCATATACCAAGCATCCATACTCCGGGCAAGCACCTAGTAATAGGACCATGTTTGGATGTCTTATGCAACTCAATACTTCAACCTGCAGTGCCAAGATTAGAATTTTAGGAGAGGATTCAAAAAGTTATCCCTTGCCATAACTGTGCATGATGATATAACTCACTATTAATTTTTTAGATGTACAAATTTCATATCATATGTTGTTATTTATTAATTATCAGGCATGGTTTGAATCATTTGGTCATTATAGCCATACAATCCCCTTAGTGGTACTTTGGTTGCCAGACTTAACCAGGATTTAAACTAAATGTTGCAAAATAGTTTTTTAAGCCATATGAACCCTCACATTTTTCTAAATTTAAATTGACTAAATTGTAGTAGCCAGGTAATCTCCTACCTCTTGTTGGAATTGCTTCCTCCCTTGAGTTGCATTTGGTCTCAGCACTTTAATGGCAACTGGAGTATGATCCAATGAAGCTTTGTACACTGGTCCATATCCACCTTCCCCAATTTTAAGTGCTTCTGAAAAGTATTCAGTGGCAAGCTCAATCTCATCAATGTTGTACTTCCTGTAGCGTTGATCCTTATGAGCCAACGCATTTAGTGCTTTCATTTTCTCTTCAGTTTCACGCTTGGCCTTAAGCTCTGCATGTAACCTTTTTTGTGCCTCAATTTCTGCAATTCTTTGAGCTGCTTGAGCTGCTTCAATGGCCGCCTTACATTTAGCCTTCTCCCTTTCAGCGAGAGCTAATGCTGCTTCTTCTGCATGCTTTGCTTCTTCCACCTTTCTTGCTTCTTCCATCTTTTTGTCATGTAGCTCTTTTGCCTTGATAAAGAAAAAATATTAGATTTTTATCAGATTGATTCTCTCTATTGACTTCAATCAACAAAAAGTAAAAAGAGCAGAAAGAAATCAAGCTATAATTATATCTAGAGTAAAAAAAAAGATTGAACCCTTCTTTAATGAAGAAAAAAAATTATTGCAATCCCTTCTCTTACCATGAAAAGTATAAAGAAAATTAAATAAATAACCAAATTATGAATATTTTTGGCCATCTATAATGAGAATGTGTTAATTAAAATAGCTGTAGTGTACCATTTGTTTAGATGTGATAGCTTCCTTGCATGCTGTGCTATACATGTCCATGGTTTGCTTCAGCTCAAGCTTCAATCTTTTCATCTCAGCCTCTAGATCTCGTTTTGCCTGTACATAATGATAACTATGAGATTCTTCTCATCAGATTTTCTAAGAATATTGAGGCATTCGAGGCTACTCAAGGGTTATTTGGTTGAATGTTCTAAGAATATAGGAATCATATAGAAATATAAAGTAAACTATGCTTTTTAATAGTAAAGAAGTCGTTTCTTTGGATGAAACTTAAATGTAACCTTTTTTTTAATTTATTTACTCTGATACATTTAAAAAACTCTCTCTATTTATCTCTTGTTTGTAATCCTTCAAGGACCATGGTGAAATTGATGACAAAGAAGGTGATGTGTGCAAGAAAAGCAACATTGCTATGGGAAGCAATGCGAATGAGGGGAATGACACACACACACACACACACACACACACACACATATATAACACTTTTATTTCTAAATAACACCAATGATATATGGAAGAAAATGTGTATTTTAGTGCTGAAACTAAATGTTGGCAATATTTTTATTTCATTTTGATACTATGGTTTTATATAAACATATCTAAGGATTTAAGTCTTAGATTTGTAAATATACATGATTCAATGATATGCATGGAAATCCTTACTTCAAATTTATTTATTTATTAAAATATTAAAAAACAAATATAGATTAACAAAAAATAATAATTCTTCCAACTAAGCAACCTTTTTAAAATAAAATGAAAAAAGAAAAAAAAAAAACAAAACTTACAGTGGTTGTAGCTAAGGATATGTCAGTGATGCTATTCATAGTCATCTCAAAAGATTCATTAAAATTAGGGACCTTGAAGCCCAGATTTCCTTGAACATCAAAATTCTCTGATAAAGATTCCCTTGATGTTGAAGGTGAAGGCCATTGGGAATAATGAATATCAAGACTGTCATGCAAAGCATGACCTGGTGAAGCCTTTATTGGATTCAGAGCTCTTTCTTTTGTTGAAGGTCTTGTCAGCTCAATTTTCTCAAAAGAGCATCTCTCAGGAATGTGTGGTGGTGGGATCATTCCTCTCCAATTTCCTCTTACAAATGGTGTTCTGTTCTCAATGATTAGATATTGATGAATTAGTATAAATATGATGTAGGCATAGATTATTTAGTTTGTTACAAAAAAAGTCATAAATGAATTTGTTTTACAAAGATAAAAACTTTTATAAATAGAATGAATCACATAAAATTGGGACATAGATAAAATGTGGGATTGAGAAATATTCATCATAAGAGAAAAATATATTTATCATCAAGATTATTTGTTAGCACACCTCAAATTTCATTGAAATGATAGTTTTTTTAATCGTTGTCACTATTTTAGATCTTTTTTTATTCATATTAAGAGATTCAACTCAATTTATACACTAAAAAATTATCACTTTTGACTAAAATCAATTTTATACAAGCTTAAATCAAACTTTTCTTTAATTGTAGGTTGAGAGTGGTTCACTCTAATCTAGCTCAAAATTATGCATGTTTAAACTTAAAAAATGAAATTTTCATTTATTTATTTCCTTAAGTGTAGAATAATAAATAGATTGTAAATATATCAACAATAAAGATTTAACTATCTTTAATTTGGTTCAATGTCACTCATGCTTATACCTATTGTTTTATGTTTTTTAAAATATTTTTGAAAAGAAAATGTACTTTAAATAAACCTTACTCGTAAAACAATTAGAAATTTAGAAGTGAAAAAATTGTTCCTTATCTTTGTTTCTTCTCAATTAAGGAGAAACTACATATCAAAACAAGTAAAATTTTAATAAGATTTTGTGAGCGCGTTGTCACTTCCCAGAAGAACTCATTGGGGTGGTGGGCTGCCTAGGACTTAAATACTGTTTTTCAGCCCTACACCTAGTTGATGTGGGACTTTTTGTTCGTGATATTTTTCTCCACCCAATCACGTGACGTCCTCGTCACGGATCGGCTCCATCGAGGGTCCCATTGGACCATGGAGAGTCCACACACCTGGCAGACAGTAATATGCTCTGATACCACTTGTCACCTCCTAAAAGAGCTCTTTTAGGGTGGTGGGCAGCCCAAGACTTAAATATTATCCTAAAAGAGCTCTTTTAGGGTGGTGGGCAGCCCAAGACTTAAATATTATTTTTCGACCCTACACCTAGCCGATGTGGGATTTTTTGTCCATGACAGCGTGCACTTCTGTGTGTGTGTGTCTTTGTATGTGTGTGTGCATATATGATTTTCTTATACTTTTTCAATATAACAAGAATCTTAATTCAAACTTAATGAGAAAACTTTTATCGAGAAAATATTTTTTAAACAAATTTATTTGGATTCATGAGCGGCAAATCTATTATGGAAGTTATACATTTATTGAGATATTTTACGGAGAAACACAGAGAGAGTAAGAAAAATCTACATATGATTTTTATGGATTTAGAAAAGCTTATGATTAGAGTCCAAAAGTACTTTGAAGAGTTCTAAAAAACAAAGGTGTTGATAATGCTTATATTTAAGTCATTAAAGATGTGTCTATTACAATTGTTACTTTTGATTGAACAGAGAGAGAATCAACCAAGTAATCTTCTATTTTGGTTGGATTACATCAAGGATTAGCTTTAAGTTCATATCTTCTTGTTTTAGTTATGGGTGTTCTTATTAAACATTTACATGAGGATATACATCTGTGTATGTTTTTCGCTGATGATATCATTCTTGTGGATAAAACTAGAGAGGGTTCATAAAAAACTTGAAATATACATATGAAGGTCAACTTTAGAGTTTATAGTCTTTCGTTTTAATAGAGCTCTAAAACAGAATACATGTATTATTATTTTAGTAGTAATAGACATAGTGGCAGGTTGTAACTACGGGTGATGAATTATTATAAATGAGATGTAGGCATAAATTATTTAGTTTTTTCAGAAATTCATTAAGCAATTAATTTGTTTAACAAGGATAAAAACTTTTATAAATAGTATGAACCACATAAAATTGGGACTTAGATAAAATGTGGGATTGAGAAATATTCATTATAAAGAAAAATTATATTTATCATCAAGAGTATTTGTTAGCACACCTCAAATTTCATTGAAATGATAGTTTTTTTAATCATTTTCACTATTTTAGAACTTTTTTTCATATTAAGAGAGTAAACTCAATTTATACACTGAAAATTCAACTAATAAATGATCACTTTTGACTAAAATCAATTTTGTCCAACTTTAGCCTTATAATTTTCATCGGATGATCATAAATAAGATATTTTAAATTAGAAATAGAGAAAATATCATGTCTTAAACTTTTGATATAGACTATTGTTCAAAATATTGAAAAGTGTTGTCTTAAATTAAAATATTATTTGCTAAATTGATAAAAATGATATTATTATATTATTTAAATTATATTAAAATAATTAAAATATTTATTGCAACATTTAGTTAAATCTCCTATTCATCCATAGCTGAACCATTGAACCTTGAACGTATCTTTCTTCCAGTTTGATGTCTGGTCTAATTTTCACAACCTTCGTTACTGACATTAGAAGGCTTGGGTGGATGAAGAGACTAAATGCAAAATGAATATGTCCGTGAAAGAGTTGGAGTAGCTCCAGTGGCAGAAAATATTAGAAAGAGAAGTCATAGGTTGTTTAGTCATGTTAAACGTTGACCATCTAATGACCTAATTAGGAGAGTGGATGTTTTATATTTGACTTATGTTAAAAAATGTAGATGTAGCCCTAAAAAAACTTGGATATTTGACTTATGTTAAAAAATGTAGATGTAGCCCTAAGAAAACTATTGTATAAAATATAAACATAATTTATTAGAATTAAATAAAAATATGACACTCAATAGGGGACAATGGAGAAAAAGGATTCATTTAGTCGATCCCACTTAATGGGATAAGGGCTTGTTGTTTTTGTGTTTTAGTTTCCCAAACTTTAACTTGTGGCCTTTTTTTATTCTAAATGTCAAATTTTGGTTATTTATAGTAACTTCTACCAATAACAAATTGTAACACATTCTAATTGGGCATTTTTGATAAGTGTTATTAAAGCCATGACTTTTAGATCATGCATGATAGAAGAGAAAATACCACAATGAGGCTTTATTTCCAATCTTAGAGACTATAGTTATATCACAAATTGCTAACTTATCACACTTGAAATTATATATCTTTCATGAGTGATGAAAGTCAACTCTTACTTCATTCATGATAGAACATTAAATTATAGTGGAAGTCCGATTGGCCCAATGGCAAACAAAAAATTATCAAGTGTAGATTACATATGTCGTTGTACATGTACGTGAAAGATACAAACACACAAATGTGTGCTACTACTTGCTCTATACTTCACTTGATTGGACTACATGAGTATTGAGTACTCTAATCACCCGGGGGACATAGCAAATACATAACAGTATTTTTTTTTACAAGACAATAGTATGCCATTTAAACCACTAATATGTTATCATTTATTTGTGTCTTGCGTACCTAATAATTTCTCATAACTCTTGAGAGCTTTGGCTCCAATAATAAAAATGTAAATTTTTTTTAAAAAAATTTTTTATGAAAGTTTGAGCGAATGTAACCACAAATTCATACAAAAAGTGCTTATATTATATATACAAAAGAATCTTACTTTTGATCTCATGGTGGAGCCAAATATCCCAATCATTAAGCTAATGTGTGCTACCATGCATATATAGAAGTACAATTTCAATCACATTAACTAATTACTTTTAATAACCATGATTATACTCACTCAAATTAAAACTACTTGCATGCAACATTTAGAAGCATCCTCTACAAATTTACGTTAAGAAAATATATGCAGCCTCATAGAAAGCTTACTTGACAGAATCATCGGAGTCATTATAATTGCTTCCCGCTACAGTAACCAGTGGTGTTTGTCTCTGCGGTGTAGGATTAGTTGGTGCGTGGCTTTTTGCTGATCGAACTGTTACTTGTTTCCCTTTGGATATCACATACACTGTGCAGAAATCTGGAGCTGATTTGGCCACATTTGAAGGCACATCCGGATTTCTAAATTTTCTGCAATAAGAACTAATTTAATGATAGTTTTGAGTGAAAATTAAATAGTTATTATTATTATTTTGAGATTAAAGAGTGGGTTATTAAAACATTGTGATATAAATAAAATTATATTTTGAGCGAAAAAAGAATAATTTTTATTAATTTTCAGATGAGAAATTAAAGTGGATAATTAACTGAAACCTGGTGATAGCGTTCCTGGTGGAGGCACCGAGAACAACATTATGGATGTTGTTAGCAGCTATGTAGTCTACAATTGCTTTGGAGATGTCTGTGTCTTCTAACACCACCTCCTTCACCTGCACCTGCAAATTTTTTCATTATTTATAGCTTATTTTGCTGATTGCATGTAAATTATATCTAAGGGGGTATTTGGCTACACACAGGATTTAACTTAAATAGGATTGAGTAAATCCTGTAAATCCGGATTTATCCATTCAAAGGCATTAAATAAAGAAAAATATTTGGTTTTGCTAAGGTTAAATCGAGTTAAATCAATTTGAAGTGTTTGATGATGAGAGAAGCAACAATCCACAGATGTGTTTTCTTTCTCACTTGATTATATCCGATAAGTCCACTCAATAGTCGGATTTAATAAATTCAAATTTTATATAAGAAAGGGCGTGATTTAACATCTATTTTTAATATTTGACAGATTTACATTAAATCTTAACCTAAATCCCCAAGATGTTATCTTTAGCTGATCATCTAATTGTAGCAAATTTCTTCATTATTTTTTAATTATTTTTTAAAATGTATTGCCTTCTAAAAAGGCATAGGGACATATATACCCCTTTTTTGAAGCAGAAAGTGCTGTAAGGTTGGAAAAGCTGGCTCATCTCAGCCTCAAACTGCTCTCTAGCGCCCTCTTCAGTCGTCTCCGCCACAGCAAACCCATCTGTAAAAACCTCAGATAAGCTTCCAGCACTTAACTTCCTCCGAATCAAATTTCATGGGGATGATCAGATCATCTAGCTTCTTACAGTGGCTGTTAATGGAAGGCCGGCGAACATGGAGGAGGACGACCGTGTGATTGTTAACAAGGAGGTGGTCGACGGTCCACTTGACGGCTTGTTGGCTGCTTTTGTCTCTGTCGATCGCCACCACCGCCTGCGGTCTGCCTGAATCCAGCGCTGTTCCCACCATTGGCGTTCTGTTCCGACAGACTGGAGAGGGAGAAGATGGATGGTCTCAGGTTCCCCTCTGCGCTTCCTTCCTCTTTATTTAAACAGATGCTGTTCATTTGCTGTTGTAACGGCTAATTTTTTATATAAAATTAGAAGTTTAAAGTTTTTTAGGCGGTTTTTGACTTTGAATGACTGTTTGAGTTTCAGGGATTGAAAACTCTGATAACAATTCAAATTTGTTGGGTTCCAACGGCACAGGAAATGATGGGTTGACTTCTAATGATTATATTTATTTTGAGAATATTGTAATGTAAATTCATCATTTTGAATATTAATCCCGAAGTAAATCAAATCAAATTTATTAAAACAAAAAGAAACGGGATTTATACACAAATTATTCTTTTTTATTATAAAATTATATGCAAGCACGTTTTTTAAAAAGAACAATCATCTAAATTATTTATTTGTATATAACTAATATTTAATACAACTAAGTTAATGAGAAGTTAATGGAAGTAGAAAATACAAGCTGAGATTTCGATGTGATTTTTGCGGTTTTGGTGTATTCGTAGCTAGAAATAGTGATAGTTATTGTAATAGATAAAATTTAGTATTATATGGATAATTGCCTCCATACAAATTTTAGGACAGCGTCTAAATGTCAAAAATATTATATTAGAAGTGTTGTTGTAGAAATGTATTAGGACTTCAATGAAATTGCATTACGTCACACGACGGACCCATTAATATATATATATATATATATTGTTAAAAGAGCAGTTTGTGGCTCCTTGCGCGTTAATAATAAAAAAATGTACAAATTTAGGGGGGTGGGATAGTAGATCCCCATCTAAAACACAAAAAGAAACTCAAACCTAATGGTTCTCGTATCCACGTTACAACTTCACATAAAAAACAGGGAAATACATGCATAAAGATAAAAAAAAAAGTATACCAACATAAGAATTATACCCAAAATTACATGTAAAGCAAAAAGTGTGATCAGAAAGTGGAAAACTAAAGAAACAAAGTCCAAAAAGCTTTCAAGAAGTTCAACCAAAGTAGAGTGTGTAGCCATCCAAGCATTCCAAGAGCTTAACATCTGAAACCCAAGAATTGAGCATAACAGGTAGTGGGCATCCAGGCAGCAAAACAAACAGGCTATTAAACACGTACATAAGGAACTGCCATATCACTATTAATCAGCTTAGCCAACATAGGAGGAGGAGTAATACCAACTATTGCCCCCTGCACCCTCCATTTAGCAAGCCAATCCGCAGATTTGTTGCCCTCTCTATTTGTAAAGGAGTATGATATGTTTAAAGAGTGTCCCTCAATAATCTGCCTAATACGCTTAAACCAAATCGTAGCATGCCATGAGGGAATAAGCCTATCTGAAAGCATATTATAGAGAATAGTAGAATCAATTTCTAGAATTAATTTTTTTAGATTTAGAGAGACAACAGTTTGTAATGCAGCAAGAACAACAATAATTTCAGCCTCAATAGGAGAATTGACCAAACAAGGTGTAGTAAAGTCTGTGCAACAAATGTCATTTTCATCCCTAAAGATCCCACCGACACCCTTATAATCATTAGCATAACTTCCATCCACATTTACCTTGATCCTGCCGTGTGGGGGTGGTGCCCATCTAATCAAAATGGGTGACCTACCCCTATCCACATTTGGAGAAGCTTCATGTACAATGGAAATCTTCCAAGCCTTCTTTAAATAAGCCACAACAAAAGCCACATAAAAAATAATATTTAATTTTCTTTTATGGAAAAATGATTTGTGAGCATTGCAAGTTTATGTTGAGCACAGTCGTAAAATTAATGCTTTCAAAATCATTTATTTTATTTGCAATATTAGTGTATTGACATTCATAATATTTTTGTCAAAACAAAAAAAATGAAATTATATCATGAATGTAATTTTAAAATTATCTAAATGTCTTTTAAATTTTTTAATTGATTTCATAAATGTTAAAATTATCTGTTAACATATTTCATATTTCAGATAAGTTCCACTTTGAAAAAGAATTTAGTGGCCATATGACTTTAAAATAAAATGCCAACGATCACCAAATCAAGAGAAATTATTATATATGGAGTCTATATACATATGCATTTTATGTTCAATTTTGTTGTACACTGTTGTATAATATAGGTATTGTTGCACACGGAGTCCGTAGACACATGTGCTCTATATGTAATATTTTTCCTTGAAAATTACGAAATATTTTTCCCTGATTAGAGCCCTTCTTGAGACATAAGCTTCAAACTATGTTTTCTAGAGCTTTATTAATATATATATATATATAGGAATGGCCAGGGGCTACTATACGAGCCTTCAGCCAATCCTAATATGCCTAACAATTCGAGTACCACCTCCTTAAGGCCAACTATGTCAGAGAAGATTTGAACCATAGACCTGAGATGTCTTAAATCGTGGAAGCCAACCAACAGACCGGAATACGCAACACTACTTACCTTTTATATGTAATCTATATTATACATTTTTTTTCTTATACATTTTTTAAATTACATCCTTATTAGATATTGCATCATAGCTAATCTAAATATAAAACTAGATAAAAACTACTAGATTTTATTTAAGTCTTATTTTCAGGCATTTTATTATTTATTTAATTTTGTTTTACATTCATAGAATTTGTAAATACTTGACATGCAAAATGACAAACATTCCAAATTCAACAGAACATCAGAAACCATCAATTACATTTATAAATTTTACTATTTAATAATGTCACACAGCTGACTTAATTACATGCTTCTCAAGCAGTCCTTTTATATTTATTTTTAAATCTATTTTGGTACATCATACTTAAACCATCCATACATGTTCTCATTATGAAAAAACTAAAAAAATAAAAAGAAGAACAGTTTTATAAACACAATTAATTGTGTAATTTGAAGGGTTTAAGGGGCTTTATTGCAATTTGGAGGCCTTCTTTGAAGTCAAGATAGGGATAGGAGATTGGATAGTCTGAGCTGTTCAGAGGGACCCAACTGTAATTAAGAAGAAGGTGATGGATGAAGATGCTCGCCTCAAGCTTTGAAAGTTCATAACCAGGACACATTCTCTTGCCTCCTCCAAAAGGCATGAAATTCTTCTCTCTTGCTGAATCCAAGTTCTGATAAATTTATTACATGGTGTAATTAAATAATTAACCGGCTATTACATATTAATTAAATTTGTGCTATATATGAGGAGAATAATAATTAATAAGGTTAAACATGTAAACCTTCCATCGATAGGGGTTGAAGAAGGAGGGTTCTGAATGTAGGGAAGGATCTAAGTGAACTGCTGTAATGACGGGGAGAATTTTCCATCCTGCTGGAATCTCGAAGCCTTGAATGAAACATTTAGAAAAAAAGAAAAGGAAACATCAGATGGCATATATATAAATAGATGTATTTATTTTTACATAAAAAATATGTCATCCGAGCATATCCCAATGAGATCCAAAGGTCTGGAAGGAAGAAAACATGACAAATGAGGGCCCACCGATAGCCCGCTTATCTAATCGGATGTGGCCATTCGAGCCAAGACTGAAAGCTGATAGAGCTAGAAGAAAGACAAAAAAATCATATGAATTTGAACCAATCATACTAAAATAAGACAATAAATATCTGAGCTAAGCATATCCAAAAAGTAAAGCGAAAAGGATTTCAAGCATTGCCCTTCTATTTTCTAAAGGAGATTTCACGTTGCTGTCATGCTTTCTGAAGAAGATTTTTCACGGTTGTCGTGCTTTATGGAGTTTTGTCACGTTGCTATCGCACTTTCTAGAGAAGATTTTTTGCACTTTTGTTGTATTTGGAGGATATTCTGGCACTGAAATCAAATTTTCAAAGTAGATTATCCATGCAGCTATTGCGCTTTCTAAAATAATTTTTTGTCATTCCTATTGAATTTTTTTAGAAGGGATTGCATTCGTTGCTACCACATTTTTTGGAAGAGATTTCCCACATTGTTGTTGTGCTTTTTGAATAAGATTTTTTGCACTGCCGTTGTGTTTTCCGAATGATATTTTCACATTATTTTCATGCTTTTATGAGGAGATTTTTTGTGCTACCATCACATTTTTTGGAGTGGATTTTTTGTGTTGTAAGATGCCGACGTCTGAGGAATCTCGCCTTCGAAATAGACAATAGAAGTATCAAAATCATGCGGTGTCGACACCTTCCAAAGATGAGTTATCTTTTTATTGATCAAGTGCATAGGAGACTAATCTTGCAAAGATTGACCACATTCTTGGCGAGCATATGAAGTTGAATAAATCCTAGATCAGATTGCAGAGGCTTTGTAGGTTTTTCATGTGAGAATGTTGGCTCTTGAAATAAATAATATTAACCTACAAATCTCTTAATAATGAGGGGATGCTATGGAAGTTTGGTGTTTATGTTTATATTCACTTGTTGTAATTTTTGTACCAGCGTGCGTTGGTCGTTATAGCTTTTAAATCATGTTAATGGTGTGTATGTTTGTGCGTATTTCTTCTAGTTGACGTGGTAAAATTTTGATGTTACTTTTGAGGTTGTTTTTATCTTTCTTCCCAAGTTGTGATTGTTTAGCTTTTTCAATCACTTTTGTCCCACCTTTTGAGGTATTGTTGATGCCTTCAACTTCGTAGCTGGAGCATAATCACATTGAACTCTTCAGAGGCTCGTGCATTCGGAGATTCTTTAACTTCTCAAATATGTATAAGTTTGCAATCGAAGTTAGCACATCTGATTTATATGAAGAATTATTATTATTATTATTTGTGGTTTATACCTTTCGAGGCTTTCGACGTGCTTATATCTTCTAAACTAGCAGCATCATGAGGTTTGTGCCTTATGAGACTTGTATCTTCTAAGGTTTTTTATGTCAATGTGTCTTATAATGTTTGTAGCATTCTTGAGACTTTAATGTACCTGTGCATTCTGAGACTTGTAGTTTTCTGAGATCTTTGAAGCTTATAGCCTTATGATGTTGTTAAGTGGATACCATGTCAACCATTTGCTCTCATAGAGTCTTTCTAGCGATGATATTGTCCACTACTAGCTTCTCATTGAAACTTGCCTCTTGGGCTTGTCTTCTGGGGGCATGGAAGCTTACCATCGAGATTTGACTCCTATACTTGTCTTCTATGGTACCGTAGCTTCTCATTGAGATAATAACCGTTAAATATCGTCGAATATGTGCCCAATTTGCGTCTGATCCAGCCGACACAAATGTGCTTAATTCCTGTTGTGTCGGTACACCATCTTCGAAGTGCATCAATGTGTAGTGCTCGGAAAGATGCCTTGCTCAGTAGAATGTTCCACTGCTCCGCATATTGACCTCTACTCAACCCAGTGTTTCATCACTCCCCAACATTAATTGCTACTTTGCACAATGTTTTGTTATTCTATGATGTTTGTCATTATTCAGCAAGATGCTTCGCTACTCTGTAGTGTTGATTGTCGTTCAATAAAACTCTTTGTTACTCTGTAATGTTGGTTGTTGAATAACAAGGTGCTTTGTTACTTTGCAACTCTGCAACATGCAATGGGTCGGCTGACAGTAATCATTAATGGTCAACGAGCGGCGGTCTGTTATGATAGGAGCAGATCTTTGGTGCAAAATATTGAACTTCAGCTCCTTCTCTCATATACCCTCTCCAAGGCTCAAGCATTTGTTGTTTTTTTCATGAAGGAGGTGGGGCTCTCTATATAGAGTTTAAGAAAGATCTCCAAAAAAATAAGGAAAGAATCGATTCTAATCCATCTTAATCAGACAACATTCTGAGGATATTTAAGTACTTTATTGTTGTCATGTTTTTATCATTTTAGGCTCGTTGGATTCATTTCGCCGAAATGCTCGATTTGAAAGCTTGTCAGATTTCAAAATTGGTTTAACATTCTAATTGGGTATCATAAGTTTTCAAAAATAATTGAACGACTTGATCTAGGCTTGATTTGACTTTGATTGAATAAATTTCAGTGTTATTGTATTTGTCTCGTCAAACCAATCAGTTTGAATTTAAGTTTGTCGAAATCAGAACTTTGGACGATCTTTAATTGAAATTTGAACGCTCCTTGCTCGAGATTCATATCAGGTGATGAAAATTTGTTGATGATGTATCAATAATGATCTCAAAATATTAACAATATTGAAGAACTATTTATTATTAATACACAAATAACTAAAAAAAACATGAGCTAGACTTTATTGTATATTTACCTTTGAATTCAATGGATTTTATTGTCTTTCGATGAAGAAATTTAACCACATTCCCAACTCGAAGTGATTCATTTATAAGACACTGAGTAAACTCCATCTTCTTATAATCATCCCACCCAAGCTTTTCTCCTCTCTTGCTCTTCATTATCCCAATGTGCTCCTCCTGCAAATTAAAATTTATTCTTTTGAAATTTGAAAATCGCAGTTACATTCACATACATAAATAAATTACATATATTACCTTCAACTCTTCCAAGATGCTTGGATTTTCACTAAGATACTTGACCATGATAGCAATCAACATGGCAGTGGTTTCATAGCCTCCAAGTAGAAGATCAAGCATAAGTGAAAGAACATACTTCTCTGTTATGTTCTCGTCAGCTAACAATATGTCTAAGAAATCTAACCCCAGCTTATTATTTAATTGCACTTCTCGGCGCCTCTTCATCCGGCCTCTCAAAATATCATTTATTTGGTGCCTTGCCTGCAGTACTAAATTGACTTACTATATAAATTAGTAAAAATAGTAGTATTAATTTATAAAATACAAGTTATTCTTAATAACCTTTATTGCCTTTGCGTAAGGAGTTCCAGGAAAGTTAAGAGGAAGTGAAGTTAGTCCTCTCATGAATGTCTTATAGCATTTGAGCAGTTCCATGGCTTCCTCCTCTTCTGGCTCAAGGCTCAATATTTGCTTAACTATAACACTGAAAGTGAACTGCAAAAACAAAAATTTTATATACTTAATCTTTTATTTATTTACGTATTTAAATCATTCATAACTTTGTGTATATTTTAATGCGATTTTAAAGGGTTAAGTTTTTTTATTTGTTTATATGGAAAAATTGTAAAAAATTTAGAGTGAGCCCCACTTGTTATCCGTAGACAATAAGTGCTCGTGGATATGGGCTTGGTATATTGAACGATGCTTTGCGAATCATATCATAATAGATGACATAAATTAAGATACAAGCTATGTACACATATGCATGAAAATAATAATTTGAAAAACAAAAATAATATTATATTATAGTAAATGGGCCGTTTATATTCATTCATTCCACCAAACTTTTATGTATTTATACATCTAACTCCTAAAGATTATATATTACATTTATAACATCCAAGTCTTTCATGCAACATCAAAAGTACTATATATCATTTTAATTTTTAAAAAATGACATGCACATTCAAATACATAGATGAAGTGGTATATATGTAAAAAATTGGATTTTTAATATTAGACCTGTAAATACATAAAAAAAGAGTGGTACATATACATAGCTGTCCTTACTTTGCGGGTCTCATCACAGAGCACTATAGTTTCCCTGTCGAACCAAGATCTCATGATAGAGAGAGCAGTGTCCTCAATGTCGGAGAAGAAAGTGGTCTTATCGGGATTCTTAATGGCGGACATGAGGCTCACAACAAGCCCACGCAAGTGCTTGTGAGTTTCTCCGTTGACGGCTAACAGAGTATTTTCTCCCAGAACTCCGGGAATGGTCTTCGGATAACTAGCCATGAACAATCTCTCCTCGTTGTTCAACACATAGGAGTTGAATTCAGCGTCGCATGACACTATGGTTGGTCTTCCGAACAGATGAGATTGAAATATTCTCCCATATCTTCATAAGATGTGTAAATGAAATTAGTAACACGTAAGATGCATAAAATGAATGGAGCTGATCAAACCTGTTTATGTTTTGTTGAAGGAAGTTTCCGATGGAGGAAGAAGGGTGCGGGCTGATGAAGGAGAGTGTGTGGTCAACGAAAGGGAGAAAGGTTGAAGAGGAACCAGGTGGAAGCTTTGAGGCAAGCTTGGAACTTTGATTGGTTGTCTTCCAATAAAGAATTATGGGAAAGAGGATGAGGAAGGAGAGGAGGTAGGGAAGAAGCTGGAAGAGATCCATGGCGTCGTCAATTGTTGTATATAATAGTGAATGCTGGAGAAATTATTAGCTGCGGCGATCGTTTTATCGGATGTTGTTTCAGATGGGCCATCTTTGATCCGGTCAACCATACGTATAACTTTTCGTTATTTTGAGAGGTCATCGTGATTATCTATATGCGCTATTTTAAGGAAAAAAAAAGAGATTTAGAATGAATGTTTAGCATCATGTAAATAAAAGAAATGGTTAATTATAGAGTACAAAAAAAACAGGGTTGAATATATTAAAATAGCAAAAAAATGTTGAAAATTCGCTGAATAAACAACTATTAGAAGATGTATTTTCTCTAATTGGCTTTGTTTATCAGCTTGTTCTGGGTGTGATGCAATAAAATAATTGGTGATAAGTACAAGCTTGATTGATCAATTCCTTAACTGACAAACTGAATGAGATGATAATCAAGTCATATTTGCGCTTATCTTGACTCAACTCATCATATATATATATATAATAGAATTCATAAGTTTGATTACAAAATAATTAATCATAAAAATGTATAATTGTTTTTTCTCCACTAATTTCTAACACTTAATAAGATTTTTGAGTTGAAGAAATCATGTTAGATGGCTTGATATTTGTAGCTACCCCAAGCCCATATTAAATCTTGGATTGGAATATTACATAAGAATGAAGCAAGTGTTGGATGCCATGTTAAGGTAGGCGTAACCTTGACTATAGTGTTGAATTAGCAATACATAAACCTTTTCATGCATGGGTACGGTGGCATGGATGTAAATACCAAAGTTTATTGGTTAGATATGTAAATACATAGGAATTGAGTGGTGTGTATGGAAATCCACCAAGTTATTTACTTCCCTCTCTATTTAGTTTTAGCGCCAAAAAAATTGTTTGGATCAGAACCCCGCCGAGAGAGAAATTCCCGCGCGATTCCTCCTTTCTCCCTTCTCTGGTTTTGCGATCTACTGCAGGCATCGCAGGTAATTTCTTCTTCTCTTCTTTGGATGATATTGGCGATGGGGAGGAGAAGGTTGATTAGGGTTCCGATAAGGACTAATTAACCTAACGTTTGAATGTTTCTTCTCTTCATCAACAGATTCTCCGTCCATTGGTTCAATTTGTTCACCACTGTTTAAAAGCTGCTAACCCTATCTCTTGATCTTCGTTAATTAGCCATCGAGCCACTTTTTTGTCTTTTGAATTTATTCCTCAAGTTATTGACAACAGCACCATATGGCTCGGCTATATAATTTGCGATTCTTCTGTTCTGTGTGATAGTGATGATTATGTCTGCTTAATAATTTGTTAAGCATGCATGAATTTCCTGTCAATTACTTCTATCGATTGATTCTCCTCGAAGGCATTCGCCAAACATATTTTGGTGCCTAGTATTGAAGGTTTAATTTGGTAAATATCAATCGGTTGATCAAATTTGATTCGAGGAAAAATTACTGGGTAATTCAATTCATCTCAGAAAATAAACCATCACATTCATTCTATTTGTTGGAAATATGATCTACTTGAGAGTTCATTGAAAGTGAAATGTATGGATTGAATTTTATTATTCTCTTTGAGATTTGGGTGATTGTATTCCAATGGAGACGATAGGATATCATATTTGTAAATAATTAAGTTGTAGCGCTACACCTAAAATTACCTTCTGATTTAATATGCATATATATCTTATATAAAATATTTATGTCATGATTTATTAATTTTAAACTATATGGTTTGTATTAGAACACAGTAAAGGCATTAACTATCACGCTTTGATTTAGAAAATATTCAAACTGCAAAGATTAGCCTGAGAAACATAAATCTAAGTAATCAAAGATGGGAGTGAAAATTTTAAAGGATTGAGATGAGAACTAAGAAAACCAGTTTTAGAGATGTTTGGCCTCTCAAAACCAATATCCAATCTCCAAATTCTCTTCACTCGAATTCCGCTAGTCTCCGTCCCCAAAACTCTTTCAATTTCAATGCTCCTGCTTCCATCTGGCTAGTTGAAGATCCATGAGAACAAAAACCTCCGGTCTTTGCAGAAATGTCAGTTTTATTATTATTATTTTTTTATTACTTTGGGATTTATTTATATAGTTTATAGTACTGTAATTTCATATTTTTCGTGAATTTCTTCTTTTATTGATTATTCATTGCGACATTCTGTATTTACTGTGTAAGAGAAAACGGTAGAATAATGAAGTTTTTTTTTTCTTGTCAATTGAAATATAGATTCATTGATGGCCGAACAAATAAAAATTTTAGATTTTGAATACATAAATACATAAGAATTAAGTGTTATGTTTGTAAATCCCTTTTATTTTTCTATGTTTTGTTTTCAAGTTATTTGGTCACATGATGCTTTATGATGTTTGTTTTTGCTTACAGGTCGTGAGAGCAGGTCGGAAAAGATGAGAACTCCGGGCGGTGCGATGTCAGCTAAAAGGTATGTGAAGATCAGGCGGATTTTATGTTTTTGATATGATATTATAAGAAAGAGAATTAAAAATATTTAAGTTTTCGTTGAATTATCTTTATAGAATAACTATGCATATATGTCTATAATTATAAAAAGGGAATTAATGCATGTTTCATAGCAAGAGTAGAGCTCAAAGAAATTTTTGATCTTTTTACTTAAAAAAGAGTTTTCCCCGTGGAAGACCTAATTCTTATGTATTAATATATTAACCATCTAAATTTCAATATTACAAATCAGACCACCCGATTCTTATTTGGGTAGAAATTAAAGTTTAAATATGTTAATACACGAGAATTTGGTGGTAGGTATGCAAATCTTCACCCTACTACAATATAGGGTTTTGCCAACTAATGCTAAAATGATACCATTATGCTCCTAAGGGATAGAATGGGGCCCATTCAACTCTGACGATTTGAGCTTTGAGGAAACAATTATTATCTTTGCCCCATAAAAATAAAGTGTAATCATTATCTGTCCGAGAATACTCCAAACTCTGGTTTGAATTTTGCTCATTAACTCATAGTTTGAATTTCGTTTTAAACTCGTACATTATATGATTTATAATTTGAGCTCGTGAATTTAATTTATTCAACTGCTAGAGCTCAAATTATAAATCATATAATATATAAATTTGCAATTTTCAATTTTTGTGAGGATTTACTTACATACATCATAATATCACTATTCTTAATTTTTAACAAACATTGAAATGATCATTAATCTTGTTTTTTCTGAAATAAAATACACCTGATTGTCGCTGTATGTAATGAAATATTAAATTTTGGTGTTGGATATATAAATATATAAGAATAGGATTGTATGTAAATTTTCTTTGATTTCTTAAATTAAATTTTATAGTTCCCAATTTTCTATCTACACTGATTCAAAATGGGCCAGAAAAAAATTCAAATTCAGACTACGCAAATAAAATAGCTATTGCAGTCATCATAGATACCGACAGCCGGTCACATGTCTGGGCCTTAGGGATTTTATTTATTTATTCCCCTTAAACTGTGATCGAAAGAACAACTAGTCGCCGTATGTGACTATTAATTGCATGATAAAGAAGTTTATGTTTTAATCATACTTTTTATAAAAATATAGCCAAATTCTTATTTTTATTCAAATATATTTGACACAAACAAAACACTTATTCATGGGTCATGCACGCTCGAATGTTTACACGGTAGAATAATAAATTATCATCTTAGCATCACAAAAAAAATTAGCAAACAATTTGGTAATCAAAGAGAAGAAATAGGAGGAGACACCTCGATTTTTAAATTAGAACTCTTAGAAAGGAAAAAAAGAATACAATTTAGCCCAATTGCAACAATGCGCTATAAATGATGAGTATAGAAGTTCACAATACTTTTGAAATGACAAAAATGAAATTACAAAGTTGATCATTGTAAACATGTATAATAGACGTACTCTGATTGTGATAAATGTAGTTCTGAAGGATTGCGGGTTGCAAGGTTTATAGTCAATTGTTATGGAGACAGAAGTTCGTCGTAATTGTTATGGACGGTGGTCGCAGCACTAGCTTGTAGTGTAAGACGTAATTGAAAGTCATAGTAATGGTTGATTGTATAGGCCGCAAATGACACGTCAGGAACATCAGTTGGCCACAAAGGATGTTGTAGGAAGCTACAAGGGCTGTGAGGGTGTTGTAGTTGGTCACGTGAGTTGTAATGGTGAGCTATGACAATATTCGTACGCCTTAAGGAAGAAAGCAGGAGCCGCGCGAGTTGTGAATCACGTAGGCAGTAGTGATGAGTTGTGATGATGTCCGTAGGCAGCAGAGGCCGAAGGGTTGTGCAAGCTGTGGACCGCGTACGTCGTAGTTGCTAGCTATGATGATGCTGGTAGGACATGAAGGCCAGAGTCAGACGCTACACAAGTTCTCAATCATGTAGGCCGTACTTGGTCACATAAGCTATAGTGGTTAGTTGTAATGACATTCGTAGAACACAAAGGTTGGAGTCAGGAGCTTTAGGAGTTTGTAGAAAGTCATTGCCTTTGGAAGACGTCATTACACCGTATATGAGGTGAATTTTTACACCATCATCGAGGTGCATTGTTGCATTGCATTCATGGTACATTGTCACACGACGTACTGCCTGATGCATTGCTCTGTCGAGCGCTTCACTGTTCCGCAACGTACATTGAGATTTCACAATGTAAGTTGTGGCTCCACAAGGGATTTCATTGCACGGAACAAGTGGTTGCATATGGTTGTTAACGGTGGTTGACAGGTGATAGTCGGCAGTGATTAGTGGCTGACAGTGGCCAATGGCTGCGGAAGCGGAAGGAATCCACCAAATCTCGATACAGAAACGATGCTAAGCTTCAGCTCCTTTCTCATGCTCCAATCTTCTTTAGGCTCTTGATCTAGGTTCTGTCTAAAGAGACGGTTGGAGCTTTATTTATAGAGCCTAAGATATGCTTCTCTACCAAAAAAAAAAAAAAAGAGAGAAAGAAATCTATTCAACCATTCAATTATGCTTCGAAAGATTCGGGCCTAAAATTTCTTTCCCCCCCAAAAAAAAAAAAAAAAGAGAGAAAGAAATCTATTCAACCATTCAATTATGCTTCGAAAGATTCAAAAAATGGTTTAACGACTTGATTTAACTCAGATTGGACCAATTTACATACCGTTGGGTGTATCTTTTCGATCCAATAAGTTCGACTATAAATTTGTAAAAATAGGAGTTCTGAATGACTTTTTCTTACTCCAAAATTGCATCGAGATTTATGTTGCCTTTAAATTTGGTGGATGATGGAAATTTTTGAAGGCATAATTAAAAATAAAAATCAACTAAAATGCTGCTTCACTAATATTTTTAGTCAAAAAGGTGCGAAGTAATATAATTTTTAATCATATACTCAATTTTTTTATAGTCACTGCCTACATTTACTAAATGTTAACTGACTTCAAATTTAATATGGTGCAGCAAGTTTAAATTATTCCTTGGAATTTATATAATTAAAACACAGTTGAATGTTAAAGCAGAATCTAAACGTAGAAAGCCTTGTTATCCTTCCAAACATAAAATCAGCATATAAATTTCAAATGAAAAAGAAAATTATATCAAAGTTTCTTGATATAAATTTATATTTAGAAAATATTTAATTTGATATTGAGATGAATGTTATATGGAAACAATTTATATTGTATTAAATGTTAAAATAACGTAGATAATATTTATAACTTATTTTTTTATATAATTTATATGAAAATATTCTGACATAAATTTTATGTATTTAAACTTATGACCCTATTCGAGTTGCAACAAACCTCTCCCTTACAGAGCAAGCACTCCACCTAACATAAAGGGTGATGAGCGCCCTAAGTCCTCAAAGATAAGCATTTAAGACCAATCATAAATGCAAAAACTGTACTTGCTTGTATATTTGCATGCAAATGAAAAATTCTATAATATCTACAACCCTAAAATCCACCATACATCATTATGCTTGGCATTTAAATGAAGACATCATCATCATCATCATCATCATTACTCTTATTATAATTATTCATCCTATTTTATTTTTCATTATGCATACAAGTCTAGCCTGTACAATCATATACACCATATCATCAGAATGACCGTTGATTGAAACCTTCCCTGTTAAAGCCTGGCCCTAGAATTGATCGCTCACAAACTATCATCTCAACATTATTGCACACTGGCCTATTTGATAAAAATGCATTAAAACTTAATTCAAATATATCTGCAAATCTCAATTATTCAGATTTATGTTTTATTCAAGGCATGTTTAGCCTTTTTCTGTTAGTCATTTATTTTAGTTTTTGTATACGGCCAATTGGTTTATTTTTATAAATTCTTAGAAGAATTCAAGCTGGACATACTCACTATAATATAAAAGGGCACTTACATAAATACCAACCCAATTCCGTTGTATTTATACATTTAACATCTAAACTTTACCTTTTGACATTTATACCACCCAAATCTTTAAATCTCATTAAAAATACTACCCTCTAAACTTTTTAAAATTGAGATACACCTTTTAACGCATGGTAAGGATGCATATAAATTGGAATGTTAAATAATATGTAAATACATAGGAATTGAATAGTATTGATGTAAATCTTCCTCAAATTTATATTTTTCAATTGGCATGATCAAATTTGATAACATATAAAACAGAACATAAAAATTATGACTAATCAGAATGCCCTGGACAAACCAAATTAACTTAATCAATAATCTCCCAATCACAAAGTAAAAACTTACTATGATATTACATTTTTGATAAATGACAACAAGGTAAATTACAACAATCAATCCACAATTAATTATCATAATTTTGTTAACCTTGGTAACAGAATGTGACAACTGAAATCATTAACCAATAAATTCAAAAAAAAAAAAAAAACTAAAAATTGCCAAACCACAAAAACCTTAAAATAATAATAATAATAATAGATTAAAATATCCCTAATTCATCCACATAACTTGGAGAGGCAGACAAGAAAAATTACCAGGAAAACCAAACAAGAAAGACCAATAGCCACTCCCAGCACGAGCCTATTCACCTCATGCTGCCCTCCGCCACCTTTCTTCCCCCCGCCACCACCGTCGTCTTCTCCACCACCGTAGTCATAATCGGAGAAAGAGTCGTCCTTGTCCCCTTTTCCCGGCGGCGGGGGCACCGGCAAGCCGTACTTATCACAGGGAGCGATCCCGAGAATCAATTTTGACGATAGCACCGAACGATTGTAGCAGAGATTGCTATTTCCGCTCACCTTGAAAACCTCCATTCTGCTAATGAAGGAAGCGTTGAAGGGAAGAACACCCTCGAAATTATTGCTCTCCAGATTCAAACGCTTCAACGATTTCATCTCCGATAAGAAGCGGGGTATGCTGCTGTTGAACTGATTGAAGCTCAGATCGAGTTGAGTGAGCTCCGGCAATGCGGCCATTGTTTCCGGAATGGGACCGGAGAGAGAGTTCCGTGAGAGGGATAGAGTTTTGAGAAAGATTAGGTCGCCAATGGCTTCCGGGAGAAGTCCTGAGAGAGAGTTTGAGCTGAAATTGAGAAACTCTAGGGATTCGAGGAGGCTGATGGAGCCTGGAACGGGGCCTTTAAGAGCGTTTAAGGAAAGATCGAGGTGGGAGAGGGTGAGGGAATGCCAGTGGCGGGGGAGTTGGCCGGAGAGGGTGGTGTTGGAGATGGTGGCGGAGAGAAGGCTGTGCATCTGGGAGAAGATGATGAAGGGGGAAGTAAGGGAAATGGGGACGTCGATGATGGAGAGGTAGGTGAGGTTATGGAGATGGGAAAGGAGAGAGGCGGGGAGAGGGCGGAGGGAGGAGATGCAGGAGAAGGAGCGGAGGGAGGCGGCGAGAGGAGAGGGGAAGCATTTGATGGGAGTTATGGGGCAGCGAAGGAAGGAGAGGGAGCGGAGAGTGTGGAGGGAGCGTAGAGCGGTCGGGGAGAGCTCGAGGTCGGGGGAGCAGTTGGCGAGGCGGAGGGAGATGAGGTGGCGGAAAGGGGAGGAGGAGTCGCATGCGGTGGCGTTGTCGTGGGGAGATGGGTTGCCGCAGGGGTCGCGGCCCACGGAGAGGCCCATGGATTGGAGAGCGGTTAGCTGTT